TGGGTTTTGAAAAAGTATCTATTCAATAAAAAAAAAAAAAAAAAGTAAATTGATGAAATTTTCACTCTATTTTCCAAGGACAGTAACTGAAGCTAATTAAGAAAATCTCAAAAATCTCAAAACTGCTAATTGGAAGAATTAAGACTTGTGCTTATTTCTTCTAGACATAAAATCTTAGAATGTTCATTTCATTGCATCACATTTCCCATACTTGCCTAAAAGTTAGAAGGAAATCAGAATACAAAAATGAAAAAATCTCAAACCTATTCCTCTCTTCAATATTTTCTGTACTCCATATCACCAGTCTTGAGTTCTCAAATCAAATTCACCTTTCTACTCATTAGAACATATTATTTTGGTTTGTGCTATCCTATACTATCACTGTTGTCTCAGCCGCAGCAAAGTAATAGATAGGTATGGAAGCAGCTGACTGTACATCTTCATTACAACAGCCTTCACATCAGTGGGATTCTCAGTTAAGTAATATGTCATTTCTCATATTGCTGAGGCAACTCCAGAGAACTGTAGTAGGTGAAAATTTCTGAATGATTCATTCTGGTATACTTCACATTGAAGAAAAAGAAGAGGTTTAAGGTACCTTTCCTTCATAGTCATGAAACTTGTTTCTCTTTTGCCTACACCACTGCCAACTAGATCTAGACATGCCAGGACACAAACACCTACAAAAACACTTGCCCAGAAGTTAATTTTTAGATTTAACAGTTAATAATGTTGACCAAACGGACTTTGATAAAACACTATCACTAATAAACTGGATCAAACTGCCTAAAATATTAAAAAGTGATGTCTTTTGGAGATTTACTTGTAGCTCATGTTATTATTTAATCTTAAAGATATGGAAACCATGTAAGCAAAAGTTAATTATGATAAAACTATCTATTAGTGTTTTCTACAATTGCATAGATAAAGCAAACTAATAAACTCAGAAATAAAGGATAAGTGTGATTTTTATTGTGTATAATTTTAATTTTGAAGAGCGATTTATGAAACATCGCTATTAACCACATGAAAATTCCTGAGAAAAAATTTCAAACACAATTCACCTAAATCAGAAGGTATCCTTGAAAATCATAAACATTAAACGTTAAAACATTAAATTAGACATTAAACATTAAATTATATAGCACATATAACACAGGCAAAGACAAGTACTTCAAAATAGTTTGAGCTTTATACAGAAAGTTACTGAATCTCACAAGTGTGAGGTAGAAGTACTCTCCCAAATGCTGTGATGAAATCCTACTTAGAATGATGTGTATTTGAGTATAAGCAAATAGTAAGAATCATACATGAATTATTACCAAAGAAAAAAGATCCTATTTCTCTTAGGTTTTTGTTTTGTTTTAATTCAGATCACATCTACTGTTAACCTTGATTTTTACCAAAATTAAGTATCCCCCTAATGTTATCCAGCAAGTAATTAAAATGTCATGTGATGGTCAAACTTAAAACAAGGTCCAACTTTTCTAACTGTATTCCATTACACAATATAATAGCATAGGGAGTCAACTTAGCTTTAGACTTCAATGAGAATTTACTTTCAAGACATTACATTAAGGATGATAAATGCCTTACGATAATGCCCAAAGCACCACTTTAAAAGCTACCTGTTTTAAAAGTTGGCTGTTTGGAAGGCTAAGAGAAATAAAAACATGGCTCATTCATTCATTAAATAAACATTTATTTAATGTTCACTGAGAAAAATTCTGTATTGTTATGATTCCTGCCCTATAACAATCAAAATAAAATAAGAAAAAACAATGCAATAAATACAAAATGACACGCTACAACTGCATACATAAAAAACAGAGGTGTTAAGTAATGATAATAGGACGAAGATTATTAGGAAAGTCTTCCCGAGAGAGATCATTACTAAATCAACAAATGACATTTTAATTGTAGGAATCGCACACAGACAAAAAGTAAAGTGATAAGAGATTCAGCAAATATATTTTAAGTGCAAGGCTAAATTGGGGAACTAATGAAATAAATTTGGAGATGGTAAGCCTCATTGACAAATTGATTTTATTTTCAATATAAATAATAACATATTATACATACTTGGATAACAGAAAAGTAACATAAAGAAAATGCTAACTGACGAAGATATTTCTCTCATACCTAGATGTAGGACAGACATACTGAAAATAAAACCAGTGAAACTTGCAATTTCTCAAAAGGTAGGGTGATAAAGATAGGTATGAGTATGGTTGAAGAAGTCTTTGTGCAGCCAGGTGACAGGCTGACGTGTTATAGTAGGGTAAGAAATACTAGTGTTACTTTGGAGCCAAGATTATCACAAAAATCAATAAAAATTCTCGGGGTACTAGCAAACTTAAGGCCCAAAAATCTTCAGTGCAGGGCAGACCAAGAAGGTCTCACAGCTGTGGTTTTAATAGTGCATATGAAGACATTGTTACTTCCCTGAAGCACCACACAACTGTCTTAGAACTGAATAAAAAGAATAAAGCTTATTCCATTAATCCCCCCAAAGCTGGTGAACTAGATTTTAAATCCAATTTGATACTATGTAGAAATAAAGTTCAATTGCAAAATCAAAAACATGTTCTTAACATATAAATGCTGCGCCTTTCTTCCTTTGATGGAGAATCTCTGAGATTCTATCATTCTTAAGTAGAAATTAATCCTTATTGGTGAACAGGAGTCAAAAGGGTTTTAATATCATATATTCTTGATGTAAACAGTAAAGGCATAATTATTCTTGCTCAAGAATTGCATTTTCCATCTACCTACTCAAAACAGACACATTTGCCCCTGACTGGAGGAAATTCAAACAGGTTATACCTAACTCATGTGGTCCTTCTTAAGTGGTGACCATTATTTGGTCATAAACAGAAGGCAGCTACACATGAAAGTCACAAATTGTTTTGTCACATCAAATGTTACCTTTGTTCTACTGAAAACAAGCCCCAACCTGCAGAATAATAAAAAGGAAGAAAAAAGTCAAGCTAGTAATTAAATTCATTTAAAAAATATTTAAAATTTCATAATGCTCTGCGGCCACAAATATCAAATAATCATAGATTTGTAAAAGTTTCCTGTCACCACAAAAATCGAAAATAACTCACACTAACTATCATTTATTAAATAAAAGCAATCACAAGTCTTCAAGCCATTAATAATGATCAACAAATCACCAACCATATGACTGGGAGAAAGCTGAGATTCGGTTCTTAATGAAAGAAGGTGTCTATTAAAGAGACAACCAAAATGACTAAACAGATCCGTGCTTACTGATGTACTTCCCATTTACTAGATAAAAAGGAAATGTCAAAAGCACACCCATACAGAAAAGGAACAATCCAGAGACAAACCTGGCTATAAAGTAAGTGCGAATGCTTAGCATCCGGATAAGCAAAATTATAAATTCTAAGGTGTTTCTCATTTGAGAAAAATCTTAGGTGTTTATACAGCATTACTGGTTAAGAAAAATGGAATGCTACCAGGATCTGAAAAAAGGGACTGAACAGAGTGTACACTGAAATCTCCTTTTAATAAAAAGAGGATCTAAAACAAACAAACAAAAATTCTTAATTTTCAGAAGGCCAGAGTCAAAACATAGAAAGGTCTTTATCCACACAGTCCCGCGTCTAGAACAGGGTTTTTGTACCAGGCCTTCTATGCAAAGTGTCCAAGGCAGAAGCCACCCACCACGCATTCCCAGACTCTTAAATGTGTCACTCCAGAAACCAAGAGGTCTTGACTTCGAGGTTGTTAATGAGATCCAAGGCTCTCAGAACACATTTCTGTCCGGGCTGGACCAGCAGGGCCACTTCTCTTCAAGCAGCCTCCAAGAGTTGCCACACTGAGTAGTTAGTGGGTGGCACAACGAGGCTGCCCTACCAGCCTAGCTGCCACCTTCACAAAAGCACTCGTTGCACATACTTTTCCTGATACTACTTTCTTTTACCTTGGCTCTTGCTCTGGAGAAGAGAAGCCAAAAAGTATTATAAACAAGTTTCGTCTTCTCTTGTCCCAAAGCGGGATGCTGAGGTGCGGAGGCACCAGCACCAACCTCGCATCACCCTCCCAGGCACAGACTCGAGTGGGCAGCCCCTTCATGGGCGGAGGCACGGAGGTCGCCCTGAAGGCCCTGGGCCGCCCGGCGGGCTCCGTCCGCGGGGAAGCAGGCGGAGGGGCGGCTCGCAGTGGAGGGGACCCGTGGGAGGTGCCGGACCCTGACCCGGAGAGGCCGGGAGGCCGCCTGCGGGCTTACCTTGTTGAGGTGGGGGTTCCGTATCACGGCGTAGCCGCGCTGGTGGGTGTGGCGGCGGCGGGGGGCTTCGGGCTCCATGGCGAGCGCACGGTGTGCGGCGGGGTCCGGCCGGAACGCGGAGCACGCAGGGCACGCGCGGTGTGGGCGGTGGATGCAGCTGGGACGTCCGCTCCGACTGCGGCAGCGGCGGCGGCGGCGCAGGAGAAGGGCCTGGGGCTGGGGGCGGATATGGGTGGCGAGAGGGGGTGGACACGGCGGGAGGAGCCGGCGAGAAGTCGGTGTGCGCTGCAGGACAGCCTGTGAGAAACGCCGAGTCACGTCAGGAGATCTGCCGAGCCGGCGAGTGAGGAGGAGGAAGAGCGCGGCCCTGACCGCGCCGCGGTGCCTGAGAGGAGGCGGCCGCCAGAGCCGCTCCCCTGCCCTTGCAGCGCCCCCACCTCACCATCGCTTACAGTCACAACTGTGCGAGCCCGTCTCCATGTGGGACGTGTTTAAATGTTGTGTACAGAATGCTCCCCTCACCCCAGACACACGTGGGGAGTAGAGCCAGGTTCCCCCGCCTGGCCCCCTGGCCTCGCGGGCGCCATCACCTCTGCTAGAGGTGGCCCCTCAGCCAGAGCCGCAGGGATCTGGGAGAGGGCTGCTGCTGACGCTTGGAAGGGGACCCAGGGATTGTTTGCATAAAACCCCAACTGACGGAAGAGAATCAGACTTGATTTCTCCCTTCCAGTTAGGCTCTTTTCGAAGAACTCTATCCACAGTTCTGGGTGCCAGCCATGCCAAGGAGGAAACCAACCTTGACCCAGAAAGCCCAGGCCCAAGTAGAAACTGGGAAAAAGGCAAGAAGGAGAGCGCAGGCGCCACATCGCATGATTCTCTGGAGATTATCCACGAGAATTTTAATGTCATTAGAATAAGAGGCAAGGTGTGTTAGAGTGCAAATGTGTCAGGGCCCAATAGTCACATTTATCTTGTATATAATTTTAGTAAGTTCTAGAAGCCATGATGTTTAAGAACCTCTCTCTGAATAATGAGTGATTCAGTTTTTAAGGACTTTAGTTTCTTCTTTGGTAAAATGAGAGAGTCAGAATGATGTTATAGCGCTAGAATTCTGTTTTTATTGATATTTATACTTGAAGTTTCAAGATATGAAGGAATAGTCAGATCAGAGCCAAAAGGAGTGTCTGACACAACAATGACAAACACTATAAAGATTTCTGTGCCCCATTTTCCTTTTCAGTTAAATAGGAATCCTAGTTTCTGCCCTAGTCATCTCTACCTAATATTACAAAACATAGTGTTTGGGATTATTTGTTGGTTCTATGTATCCACGAACTAGACACACATCCAAACAGTGTCTTCTTTATTTCTAATCATGTTATTTTTCTTATCAGAAAGATTTGTTATCGTAATTGGTTTGGGAGCATATTTATACCCAGAAGTTTCTTAGGCCTAGTCTTTGAATTATCTAGAATCAGTTGTTTTCTTTAGAGAACATTTTAGTGGCATCCGGAGTTCTTTAAAAACATTCCTTGCATTTAAATAACACTTTTCACTGTGAATTTTGGTAATCCATAAATAATTAACCCTACAACATGTGAAAAGAAGGTATTCTTTACAAAGTCACTCTCTTAAATTAACTGAGGCATATTACAATTAGAGTGCTTTATCCGAAACAAAAACAGTTTAACAACAGGCCTAGGAACCCAACAGAAGATGAAGAAGAAACAAAAATGTTTGTACGACAGAACCTTGTTATAATGCAGCTCCTAAGTTAGTTCTATTGCTTGTCTATTCCTGTTTCTGTGACATAATATCTACATATAGGAAAGCTGATGTAAATATAGGGAGTAGTCCAAAAAGAGTGTGTGGGCTCTTCCTCCAAGCCATCATTATAAAGGAATTACAAGACCTTGCCAGTGCATGTAAGGTTCACATCTCTCTTCCATGTGTTTACTTCTCTTATGAAAAGAGTTCCAGTTATTTTGAATGGTAACAGTATAAAGCCTAGCTGGGGAAACCATCTTGTATATTCAAGTTCAGTTCCAAGAATACAGGGAAGAACTTATTTTTCCACATAAATGTTAGCCAAAACACCAAATTTTTCAGTACTATTTAATCATTTATAAGGTTAGGTTTCATTGCCAAAAAAAGGAGGGGAAGACAAATAGAAAATAAACTTGCTTCAGTTTTCCTTGGAAGAAATTGCAGTCACTGCACACAATCGAAAATATTAAGAATGGGTGTGATTCACAAACCAAGGGATTAGAAACCTGTAGGTTTCTATTACACAAGTGAGAATACTAAACCTAAAATCAGTCAAAATCAGATTTTTCTTCTGAAAAATTTTAGTGCCTAAAGAGCTCTAACCATATGAAAACATGATTTTAGTACTCTGATCTAATGTCATTGAGATTTCAAGTATGGGCATATGCTACAGAGATACTGCACGTTGGACTGCAGACCACCAGAATAAAGCGAGTATCCCAGTAAATCAAGCCATACTCTTTTTGCTAGTAGAGGATTTTGCCTTCAATTCGTTAAAAAAAAAAAAGAAGAAGAAGAAAGAAGAAAAGAGCAACATCTGTGAAGCACAATAAAGTGCAATAAAAAGAGGTACACCTATACAGAAAATTCAAGAAATACCTAATAGCACATACAGCATTTCAAATGTTTTACTTTCTTGAGAAAAAAAAGGTAATCTAATAGAAAAAAAAATGTAGCAAAATGGTTTCTGATATTTCGTAAACGATCCTGTATTCACACAAAAAGCACATTCCTGTGTACAACAAATTGATTTTTTTGTTTTAGTTGAAAATCTCAACATGCCTGGTCCTTGGTGTATTTCCCTATGAAGGAAAGACTTGTGACTTTACTGGGTTCTAAGTCGAGAATTCCAGTGTTCAGTTTATTAGAGGGAAGAAAGTCTACCAGGGTGGCCCACCCTCAAAGTTTAGAGTCAAATGTAAGTGGCTGAATTCCTGGGATGGCCAGCCCCAGGGTAATTGCCAACCAAGGAGAGAGTTGAATTTTTGCCTGGATACTGAAGTGAGGATACAATTTGAATGAGTGCTAATATAGAGGAGGCAAAACTGTACCCATGTTAGATTTTCAGCTGGGACTCTTTAACAAGAAGATATTAACAAAAGAATAAGAGTTTATGAACTCATGCAGTGCACATCACACAGGAGAAACCTAAAATAAAGAGTAACTCAAAGCGATAGCTTACAACTGCAACCTATAGAACGTCTTCAACAAAGAACAATAACTTTGTAGAGAAATGACAGCACACAGGAAAAAGGAACACACTTTCAGACTTCCAAACGTGGCAAACTGTGGGAAGGTAAATATATGTAAAGAAACTAATAAATAAGGTTTGTTTGCAGATTCCTCTGGTCCTCAAAGATACATATTTTGGGGTTACATATCCTCGTTTTCTTCACTAGGCTCTATACCTGGCTCTAAGGAATCTCTGATGAACCAAACTACAAGTTATTGGTCTTTGAATATTATAGTAATAGGTGAAATCAGTACATGAGTCGTTTCATTAGAATAGTTTAAAGAGCTGTACTTTTATCTTATTCTATTCTTCAAGCAAAAATTTGTGTAAAATCTCCATCCTTTAATGGGCTCTATAGCGCTACAAGGCAGCAGTCTCCAACATTTTTGGTATCAGGGACTGGTGCTCCTATGAGAATCTGCCCGATGGTCTGAGGTAGAGCTGAGGTGGTGATGTTAGCACTGGGGAATCACTGCAAATACAGATGAAGCTTTGCTCCCTTGCTGATACCAGTCACCTCCTGCTGCATGGCCTGGTTCCTAACAGGCCAAGACTAGTCCCTGGCCCGGGGGTTGGGGACCCTTGATCTAGAACATAGTTTAAAAATCAAGAGTCTAGATCAGTGGTTTACAATTTTTATCCCATAATAGAATCACCTGGAGAGCTTTAAAATCCTTTAGCACCAGGATTTTTTGCCCCAAGATCCCCGGATGATTCTAATTTGCAGCCAAGAATGAAAACCACTGGTCTAGAATAATGGTTCTCAAACTTTTGTTTGCATCAGAATCAGTTGGAGGGGGCTTGTAAAGCAAGGCCCTATCCCCAGAGTCCCTGATTCAGCAAATCTAGGTGGCCCAGCAAACATTTAAGTCCATAATTTGCATTTCTAACAAGTTCCCAGGTAATGCTGATGCTGATGGTTTTGTGACCGCATTTTGAGAACTGCTTTAGAGCAACGCCATTCAACAGAAATATAATGTGAGCCACATGTGTATAAAGTTTTTCAGGTAGCCACATTTTGAAAAAAAGTAAAAAGAAAAGGTGAAATTTATTTTAATAATATAATTTATTTAACCGAATATATCCAAAATATGTCAACATATTATCAATATGAAATTATTAATGAAATGTTTTTCTTTTTTTTCAAAAAGAAATCTAGGTATATTTTATAGATACAGCACATCTCAACTTGGGCATCAAATTTTTGTCAGAAATACTTGTTTTATACTTAGATTTTATAAAACTTAGTTAAAATAGTACCCAGTTGGGCGCAATCGGGATTCACTCAAGTTGTTGAAAACATACTTTAAAAGTTCTCCAATAACTAAATTAAATAAACATTTTATATTTAAATTATAATCAAATCACATTTAAAATCAAATGTTTTATTTGTCCCGGCCCCATTTTAAGTATTTAATAGCTACTTATGGCTATGGGCTATAGAATTAGCACGAATCTATTCCAATGCATTTTGGTCCTTAATTAAATGCTTTAAGCAATTGAAGGTCAAATATACATACCTATATTTTTGTGATATTCACAAAGGAGTTGTTATATTTCTTTCAAAGTAACTCAAATTATACTACCTTATTAGTCTTTCACTTATATAGCTATTTATAACTATAAATGCTAGGCAGCATATTGATTTCCTTTACAGTATACTAATTCTCAGTCAACCTAGTTGTTTGTTTTATTCCCCAAAATATGTTATTAAAAGTTCATAAAGTCCCAACTGATAATATGGCATATAGAATAAAACTCTAAAATAGTAAGACTGCATTTAAAACAAAACTCTGCCCAAATAAGTATTCTCTTTAAAAGAGTCATACAGCTTGAGAAATTTTGCATATACTCCCAACATCACCGCCATTATTTGAAATGTTTTTTGCAAGTCTTTTGGAATTATTTCTTATTCACTCTGGGTAAATACAATAGCCTAATTGTTTGAGAATATTATATTAGTTTCACATCCACAAGTACCAGGATTAGGACTTCAACATATCTGTTGGGGAGGTACGATTCAGCACATAAAAAGTATGAAGTGTGAAATCAGACTGACCACG